TTATATTTCAATTCCTTTCATTTATTGACTCTGAAAATCTAAAATGAGTTGAAATGAAACAGAGAGGATCACATACTGTAAAATTCAGCTCTCTTTCTGACTTCTGGCCCAATTAACTCATCAAAGGTTTTGCACTGCAGTTATACTTCTAAATATAGGGACGAATGACTTTATAATTTCTTTAAACTGTTACATACTGGAAAACTTTAATAAAATGGCTTATAATCAGATCTTAATGTCTTAATACATATTATCCTTAAACTTCATCTCTTCTGATGTTAAAAAAAGGATAACTGCACAATTTATCCATGTAACCAAAAACGACTTGTACCCCCTAAAGATATTACAATTTAAAATATTTTTTTAAATACTGAAAAAGTGCTGGGAGACAGGGCTGTGGGAATGGTAATAAGGGTGGGGAGGGATATAGGGGAGAACCTCCCAACCTAGAATTCAGTGAAGCTTTCAATAATAAGGCAAAATAAAGACATTTTCAGATGAAAGCAAATTAAGGAAAAAAGAAAAAGATAATTTCTTCCCCCATATGATTATTATATTTCACATTTATCTTGTGTTTCAGATTTTCACAAATCTAAAAGGATATCAACTGTAGCCAAGTCAGTTCAATAAGTATTTACTGGATTGTGCTTATGTTAGCTCACTTTAGGGAAAACAGTCACATTAAAAATTTAGACTGCTTTGTTCATGTGCATGTGGCATCCAAGGTCATAGTGATGACCAGACAGCGGCTCCTGTTTTAACTTATTTGTTTGAACTTCTTTTGGGTAGTAATGATCTCCCCCGTCTCAGTGTGAACATGAAAGGCAGTGGACTAGAGATAGGGACTAAGAACAAACTACCTGTCTCACAAAAGCTCCTGACCTCATAGCTCAATGTTCAAGCTAATATGTGGTATATGTCAATGGCAATGGGAAATACTGAGGGACCAAGTACTAATTAGCCATAAATTAAATGTATGCGATCAACGAGCTATATTGAAACATATTTTTTCCAGAAAGTGAGATAAATTATTTCATTTTATGTAAAAAGACATGACTCATTTCTATATAACTAAGATACACAAGGGGACTATTTTTCTTTCTCATGGAAGGAATCCCTCTTTGAAAGTGTTTACATGAAAATTTCAGGAATGCAGACTGTGGTACAAAATAACCTACCTTTGTCAGAAGATAAATTATGATGTCTATTTCTGGGAGCAGCGCCACCTAAAAATAGCCTGTCTGGTCACCTTATGATGCATTCTTTCATGTCATGGATGGAAGTTTAGAGCTGAGTCTGTGTTTATATGCTTTCATTACTTAATGTCCAAACAGCTCTTTTTTTTTTTTTTTTGACAAGTCTAATCTATTTTAAGAATATAACACAATTATACTCTACTGATTGGCTATCTAATATTTCTCTCTGCTCCCCCCATAGAACTTCACTGTAGTCTGGTCAGTTGTTTTGGTGTCTTGTGACATGTGGCCTTTTATGTTGTAACCTTTGCCTGGAATGGCCTTTTCCCAGAATGGCCTTTCGCCATCTGTTCATTTAAATCCCAACCTATTCTCCACTGCCTGGCTTCAGTTCTGCATATCTTCCCAGGGCCTCTTCTACTCCATCAGTTTCAAATGACCTCTCTCCTGATGAAATACTGAGAACGCTTCTGCATAATTTTTAATTTAACACAATAGCATAAGGTTTTGTTTGCTACTTTTCAAATGTGTTAATTATCTTCTTACTTAGGAGGAGACAGAAATTCCTTGAGGCAAGAATGATATCAGATATTTCCATATCCCACAAGTATTTTGGATTTTTTTAAAACAGATGATTTTTGCCTAATGTGATATAACCATTAAGACCCTGGATTACAAAACGTAATATTTATGTCATAGAAAACATAAAGGCAGTGTGACCTAAGTGTTAACTTTTGGAAGAGCTGTTTTATCACCAATTATCTTAAGCTTTGGAAAGACATGCCCAGCGCATTCTAGATTTATAGTGTTTATTCTAAAATCACATGCAGGTTTAGAGGAAAAACTAACATTTTATCTTCTGGTAGGATACTAACTTCCACTACTTGTAATAAGAAATAGGCATTTCAATTAATTGCCAATGTATAAAATTTCTATAATTAATTTCCCAAGATGTGTAAAAAGAAACTTCTATTTTTCATTCATGTTATCTAGATTTTGTTATAATTACCAATGTACAAAAGAAAACATACTCTACAATAATGAGATGAAGTAATGTTTATCTTACTTTATTTGCCTATGCCAAAGTAGAGATACGCTTTACCACTTGCAGTTTCTCCATGGGAACGGTCATGTATTATTTCAGCAGTTGCAGCATATTGTTACTACACCTACTGATGCTCAATTAGTGTTTATTAGATCGGATATTCATTAGTTATCCGAAGAACTTTTTATAAGAAATGAATACTATTCATTACAGTTAATAATTTTTGTCAGTTTTATTCTTTGGAAGAATAAACATACAATGAGAATTACATATTTAATAATAAACTAAGTAGGGTACCGCAGAGGCTGTGTTAAATGAAGCACACTTCCCATTTCAACCAGTATTGAGGTCCTTACTTACTTTAGTTACAGAGGACACAAGGCCATAAGGAAGCAGGGTTTCTGCAGGTGTCCGATATAGCATAAATCACCATGGGTACACATGGCAATGCTGCCCAAAGATCCCCACAGCTATTCTGTTTCATTTCTGTGTGGCTTGGCAGTAGGAAGCTCTTGAAATGTTTTCATCTTACATGGGGTTTCCCTTTGGAGTTAAGTTGCTCACCTTTCACAATAAGACCCTGTTGACTGAGCAATGGGTTTATCACCTAATTTCTTGCTTAATCGTCTCTTAGTCTCTATTTTTTCTTTCAGCTGGTTTACATAGCACTCCAAGCCTGCTTGACTGTTTTTATAGTGCCAAGGCAGCTGGCAAAAATGCTGTGAGAGTGGTATGGACGTCATTATGAACAGACACACACCCTGTTAAACACACGTTCTTGTCTTAGCATAAATTGCTTCTCACAACTACCACATTTCTCCTTGCTGGGCAATCCAGCTATAGGATTTAGAAACTGAACTGCCACACAGAAGGAATGAGGGATAACCTTTGTATTCCACTTGACAACAGCCAGGTCTTTATTATGCTCAACTGAGGTGCCATGAGTTAAGAAGGTTGGAGAGAAACTAGATATGATTCAGCAGTTTGCACTGAAAACGATTTCCCATTGAGAGGTTAAGAGGTGGGGCTTCACAATTTAAAAGAGAAATGGATAAATAAAAGCAGACTACATCAGCTGTACAGAGGTTCAGCATGAGGGATATTGAAAATTGTTTCCCATCTCTTCTCATGACAGATCAGAAAGTTAAGAGCTTTAGTGGTCTAAAGAAATTTAATAGAAGCTATCACTGAAGGTCATTTGAAGACCTCTGTCTCTTACTTATATTGGAATAATGGTTGCACTCTCAGTCCTTGGCCTGACAATGCAAAAGAAAAAAGTAAAATCATTTCATTCCCTTCCTTTTCTGTGCATATAGCTGGAAGCAATATATAAAGAGAACTATCATTAGCATGTTTTAATAACAATTCCAACAATAACATCATTAATGACATTTACTGAACTATGATGTTTGAGACACTATTTTGAGGGCTTTAACTTGTTTAATCTTCACAACCTTGTGAAGCACATGTCCTGTTATCATCATCATTTCAGAGACAAGAAAACCAAGGCTCACAAAGTTTTAAGTAAATGACTAAGCATACACAACAGGTAACATCTGAATCCAGAAAGTCTAATTCTAGAGCTCTAGCTTTTAGCTACCATGTTATACTGTTGGATTTCTTTTCTCCACAGACATTTTGCCACTAAAATAGGAGCAGAAAAAGGTTTAGAGGAAGTGGAGGCTCTGAAGACATAACAGAAAGAGAGGCACACAGCAGATAAATAGTACATCTATTCTAGATTTAGTTCTAATTCGGGTTCTTGAATTCCAGAATAATGTTTCTTAAAGCAAAGGTATACATATGACAATGAAGTAACATTTGTTTGATTTGGGGGTGGTTGTTGTTGATGGTGGTAGTAAGAATCTAAATATTTTTAAAAGCCAGAATGGCAGTAAAAGCTTCTAGTTAAAAAATCAGTAATTCTGGGCAATAACAATGCTCTTTCAATGATGAAGTGGCTTTACTTAAACCACTTATATACATTATTCTTGTCTTCTTTCCTGTAAAATGTGGATCATGCCACAGTTCTCCTCCCAAGGTAGCTGTTAAGGGCCAGATTATACCACGAACATGAAAGCAACTTGAAGATTATAAATTAGGGTTCAAATGAAAGGTTATTTTATTAAAGAATAGTAATTTATTAATAAACATTTGATTCTGAAATAGTTTCATCTTACTAGGTATGTTCCATAATGCATCAGGTTATTTATGTTGGTGCTTTAACTCTTCCTCTGCCTCAGAAATGCTATCTCCTGCAAGAAGTCATGTTCTTCCATGCACTGAGCCCCTGCTGATCATGCTTTGCTTATGAGTTTAGTTATTAGTTTACATGATTGCCCCTCCCAGTAGACTGTTGAGTCTCTAGAGCTAAGGACTATTCTATTTATTAATTTTTTATAGACAATCATAGAGCTCACTATACATATACATAAATTACTGATGTAGAAAGGATACAATCCAAAAAGACAGAGGTTATGTTTCTCTTATCTTTGTTCCTGTATTTTACCCAAGTATGGTGTACTGGTATAAGGGACATGCAGATTGCTAAATAGACTAAATATCTAATATTTAAAGCACCAACTATATATTTTTGGCATATTAAAAACTCAGTTTGTGTTTGACTTGTACAAATCTATTCCAAAAAGCAGGTGCCTTTCTCACAAGGACAAAAGTAGTGTAAATTGGGAATGTGACCATAAAGCGATGGGACTAATTTTCACTTGTAATTTGTAAAACCAATCTCCTTATTTTATTTTACAGTCATACTTTGTAAATGAAGATGATTACCTAGATGTCTTACAGCATTGGATAGAGCTTTAATGAGTAAGTCATATATAAAAAGAGAGCTGAGTTCTTCTGCTGAAAGTGATACTATAAATGTAATGTGTTCTCCTAGAAGACATGCTATAAAGAGACAGTAACTGAACACATTAGAAAGACCATTCTTAAACATAAAGAACATAGGTAGAAAATATGGCATATGCCAGAAAACAGGAAAGCAGTCCAAACGACTGCCAAGAGCAAATGGTTGTGAACAGGACATATCTGATATTAAAGAAGTGAAAGTCAGTTATGCTGAGAGTATTTAGGAAAAGACTGAATAGCTTAAGACTGCAATTCCCAAGCATACAAGACCTTCACTTCAAGCTTCTGCTGACGGAACAAGTATTTAAGTTTCTTATTATGTGGTGAAATTATGTTCTCACCTCCAAAAATTGATAATAAACCATTTATAAATTCTCCTGTAGAAAAAAATACTTCTGCATCTACATTTATCTAAACTGACATGAATGATAAAAATTAAATGCTAAAAACTCTGTGAAGGGTATAGCACCTTCACACACAAACATAATCTGTATGTCAAACAGTGATAAGAAAACTACATTCTTAACTTCACTCGAACAGGAAATGAAGTTCAAAAATTCAGATTTCTAAATTCTTCATACTCCACTGGAGGGTTTATAATTTTATCATCTTATTTCTGGGAAATTAAAAAAAAATTACTTTAAAATTAAAGTATATTATCTTTACAATTATAGTATTATCTTGAAATGTCATTTACCTGCTCAACATTACTGCTAAACTAAGATTCAAAGTGTTATATAAAAAGTATTATATACTTAGTATTAACATGTTGAGCACTGCATACATAAATATGAAATGAGTTTATGTGATGATTTTATTGCTTATATATTGCTTTAATAGCACTTCATAATATTGACAAGATTATCTTTCATGCATCATTCTCAGAGGAGAGTGAAAACTTCTATAATCACAAAAGAACTGGTCTCTGCCTATATCTTACTCCTAACTATGAATGGGGTAGGCACCACTCTGATGGTACACCATTATCTTCATGGTGATTCATTACACTCCATGACAATAGTATGTATAATTACAGGCAAAGTGTTGAGGTCAAACTCCCAATTCTGGCATCATTGAATGTATGTAAAAGCTGAACAATCAGATAATACTTTAATACCCCAAAAGTAATATTATCAGGAAATTAACAAATGGTAAGAATTGGGAAAATAAGGTATTAGTGATCACTTAAATGGCTGGTCCACATTGAATACTGAAGACAATACAGGCACTTTGATTGTCCTACAGTGTGTTATAGATGTGCAAGACAACAAAACTGATATGGCCTTAAAGGTTACGTACCTGTGCCCCTTCCTCCGATGTATAAGTTGTACCCAATGATCCATTATGAATTTTTCATTCATTAATGACATCTAAAGTGTTTGCAAAGTTGACTGTATTTCCAACCTGAATTAATTCTTAGGGCTATGGTTTTCATTAGTCTATAACCATTGGTCTAAAAGAGTAAAATATAATATCTGTGAGAGGAAAACTAGGTAGACTATCTGGTATTTCTCTCAGGATTGAGATTACATGTATATGTAGTTCATGTATAATGTTAATGTATCTTTAGTAGCTATACAGACAATTATAATTTGCCACAAAACCAAAGTTCTTAAAAAATAAATCCATGGCTACATTAATTGGCAGGGTTCAGAAAAGCAAGAGGTTGTCTGTTCAGAACCTTCCTTGTATTTTTCCTCCCAGAACTGAAAATTCTTTTATCGTCAAAGGCAGGCAATGGTATCCCCAACCAGTATTAAGGGAAGCATAATGCTAATTCAGTGAGACTTATGACTCTAAAACCTTCTTGTCTAATATTTAAGTACATACCATCTTTCTTCCTGTTCAAGTCAGAAATTCTAACTGCAATACAAATAGACAAACATAAAAATAGTGCTGGGTCAATGGTCAGTGTACTTTTAAGGAAGGGGATTTCTCCTGACCCCTGATGGCAACGGTAACTGTTTACTACACTGTACACAGTCTCAGGGAGTTCCTCACATACTGTACTGGTGTCTGATATCAGGGACTCCTCCATGTTCAGCAGAGAGGTGGAAATCAATCTACATTCTCAATTAGGGTTTCACAGTCTTGAAATGTAGCTACTCAGTCATAAGAATACATTTTTTTCTAATTATTGTGACAATATGTCAGTTTTTTAATTTATATTTCAGACAAATGCAAAACAGAGTATGTTTTCATGTTATTTATACCACATTCTTGCAATGTGTTTAATGTATGAACTTAAAATGTCTTCATCATCTTCATGACTATAAAGCTGTATGTATATACGTGTATGTGTATTCATATACATACATACTATGTATGTGAAATAAACTAAATAAAATATTCAAACTGTACACTGTAAATAGGTATTTGCAACTATAGAATCACAGAATCACTACTCTAACACCATTTACTTCATATATACATTTTCTATTTCCCTTTACATGTATTTAAATTTACATTTAAATTATTGTAATTGTTTTTAGGGTACATAATTGTTAATAGGCACCATTCAGAACTAAGAAAATAAAGATTATAGAAAATTAGCTGGGTAAAAGCACTTAATGACTCTTCTTTAAGTAAGTGTGTTTGCCTTATACTTAATATGATGAGGTTTTCTAAAAAGCAATGTGTTATTTTTAGTTTATTGACTCCATAATGTAGCTGACTCTTCTTTAAGTAAATATGTTTACCTTACACTTAATATGAAGAGGTTTTCTAAAAAACAATGTGTTATTTATTTAATTTTTAGTCTACTGACTCCATAATTTAGCCCACTTTGTTGCAAATTTTGACATGGCTGTCTGAGTGTATCTGGTACTGATTTAGGAACAATGGTAATTAATGATAACAGAGAAAAAAAGAGAAAAGAAAGAAATCTTAATCTAGGGCAAAAACTTAAAAAGGAAGCAGAGGTGATCAAAAGCATTTAAAGAACAATCACCTACCAGTTCTACTCGTCCGAAACCTCCAACTCCAAGGGTATCAATGATGTTGAAATCAGACAGCTTCAGGTTGGCGAAGAAAGCAGCTTCAGCTTCATATCTGGATTTTTTGATGTGAAAAAATGGAAATTTCTTAGATGTGCAAACACGAGTACTGCGTACATCTGTACCAGAATGACATGACTGTGAAACAGGGTTTACCTGCTTACATTCCATCTTGCTTTTAGAGTTTGTGTTTTTTCACACTCATAATTTTTTGGTCCCAGTTGTGCAGAACAACATAAATTTGCACTTGTTTTTCAAAGCACTGTAGAAAAATAAAAAGTGCCCTCTGCATGCCAGTCAAGTGACTGATAAATCCAGTGATCAAATCAAAATTACATGGTGGTCTTTTTCTACGCGTCTTCTTGTGAACACCAATTGTTTGAGTTGCTCTTTTTTGGTTTTGTTTTAGATTTTTTGGTTTTGCTTGGTTTTGTTTTTGCCGTTCAGATTTTGGATGGCAGTTTCTCATTAGTTTCCCTTATCCACAGGCTGGGAGCGCCTCCTATAAATATTTATTAAAAGCAGCAAGATCACGGAGGTCTCCGGAGCGAAATCACAGCCAGGTTTTATGAAAACAGATCCGAGACGCTGAGAACTGATGTACAAATGTCCGAAATGGATGATTTCGGAAGCATAGTCACATTCCTAAAAAGTGTCTTTCCTTCATTTTTGTTTACCCACTGACTTGTAGCCAAAACTCTCAGCTAGCAGTCTCAGTGTCTATGTTTGCAAGTTTCTTATATGAGTGGTGTGGAGAAGCATAGACTGCTATTCCAAAAGTCTAACTATGCACAGATGCAAACCTCACATATGCAAGTGGCTGAAATAAGCTTCTCCTAATGAGACAAGTGAATATGAGCTGCTTAAAATACATCCTTGTCAAAGTCCCTGCTATTTTTAGAAAGGACAGGAAGGCATAAAGATGAAGATGATCTGCCCACTCACTCATGTCAGGTCAGGGAGTAATTCAGCTGTTTCAAAAATAAAGTATTTGACTAGCTATGCATAACCTATGACTTACATCCCAGCAACACCTGATTCGGTATATACTATAGATAGAAATGATGAATGCACTTGAGGTAATGATACTAACACAGCCTGCTTATGACTGCTTTTGCATAGAATCAGCCATGGGTATGTTTAACATGAAGCTGTATAACATCTTAGCTAATTCCATTAAAATCAAACACAAATTTAGACTCTTCACTTGGGGGAGAAAGCGGAGAGCCTGTTGTGAAACAGCTTTCTAGGTGAGCTTTCCGCATTCTTCAATTTACAACCATGTTTCTAGTTTTTTAACAAGTCAATTGTTGACAGGCTTCTCAGAGGGTAAAAACAACATTGTTTTCCATTATTGGCTGATTATGTGAAATCAACTCCCTCCGAAAAACCTTTATAAAAAAGGCTGCTAGTGCATCCTAATGGTATTTGTAGACTTCTGTCATTAACTACACACTCAAGAGATTAACATAGTGATCCAGGAGATGGTTTACTAGAATGGAACATAAGCAGCAAATGTGCATTTCTAGCATTCCAGCTGGCTTGCTACTTTTGGAAAATTAAAACTCCATCCCATTGAAAGGACTAGTGGCAGAGTTGACTTCAACAGGTGCTGAAGAAAGACATCTGTTGAGATCAGACAGACCCTCTGACTATTTGTATGTGGTCAAGCATTTCCTGCCTTAAATCTTTAATGAGATCGTTGTTGAATAATAATCCATGTGTTCATTGGATTTAGAAATCTCTGGTGCAAAAAGGGTGAACTTTTTTTTTTTTTTTGAGACAGAGTCTTGCTGTATCACCCAGGCTGAGGCAGTGGTGCAATGCAATCTTGGCTCACTGCACCCATTGAGTACAGTAGTGCAATGCAATCTTGGCTCACTGCACCCATTGAGTACAGTAGTGCAATGCAATCTTGGCTCACTGCAATCTCCACCTCCCAGGTCCAAGCTATTCTCGTGCCTCAGCCTCCCAAGTAGCTGATATTACATGCTTGTGCCACTAAGCCCAGCTAACAAACAGGGTGATCTCTTTCAGACTATTTTGATACCATTTCATTTATTCAAAGTATGGTATCATTATTTGTAATCCTTGAAGGCACCCCAAAATTGTTTTGAAGGGATCTTTGAATAATTGTCCTCTTTATCCTCAATTCTGTTTGTATTTGTTTCAGATCCTGATTTGGGGGAAAGTCAAATAATATAGCAATGTAACCATAGCTGTCTCTCTTTTCCACTCAAAAAATGCTAGTTTGCTTAATATTTTATATGCATTTATTTTTCTTATTGGATTATTTTTAGAGACAATAGTCACATCTTCACAAGACTGCACAGACTTTCACTTTTGAATTAATAGTTGTTTTAACATGAAAATCACTGCATAATGAACCTTTATAAAGAGGCTAAGCTACAGATAATTTAGATTTTTCAAGTATTTAGCTGTTTCTTATCATAACTGGGAGGGACATTTGCATTATTTTTCTTTACTAGGGAATTATTTGAAGAGAATTTGAACCAATTATGTTCTGTCTTTTTTAGAATCGATAAAAGTTTAGGTGGGGAAGACAGCTAAATAAATGGTTAAGTAAATGGTTAAGTAACAGTCATTTACTGTTATTTTATTAAACAACTTTCTTTTGCTTGAAGAGATAAATGTGCAACCCAAGTTTCTATCTAACTTATTATTATGGGATCCTGGGTCTGAGAAATTAAGCCCAGCTTCATGCAATTCTAAAATCCATTTGTGTAACAGTATTTACAGGACAGCTAGCAGAAATACATTTTAGTCAGAAATGCAGTTCCTGATGTTTGGTTGCTTAAAATATGAAACAGTATATAGTATATTTTCTAATCATTCTTTATTAGTTTGAGACAATTACTTTTAAAAAAATTATTATTTTTAATTATTATTATTTTAGTATAGGGTGAAAGCTGTGGATCCTCTTCCTAGAAAAGTGCAAACACTGACATATCTGTTGTTCTTACACCTATAGGGAGCTTATAGAGCCCTAAAATAGGTTAGCAACACTCAGTATAACTATACAAAAAGATAGTAAGTGTGTTGCATCAAGATGGCAGGGGTAGTACATCACTTCTCAAACATATCTGATAATGAAGAGATTCACCTGGGGCTATGGTGATTAGAAACCACAGACAATTGCTAATTCTTAAAGGGGACTCTTTAAATCATGAAATATTGAACTTTTAAGAACTAAGGAGCAACAAAGTTTCCTTGATTTTCACCTTTTCATTTCTGTATATACACCAAAGGAGGTGCCAAAAACAATAAAAATGTAAAGTCGCAGGTATAAAAATGAGATCAACACACATAGGCATATTTAGAAACAGGAAACAATCATAGAATAATCTCAATCTCTTCCTCCCCTCCCTCATCTCTCTTTCTAAAACCACTATGTGCACAGTATCACATGCACATTTCTTTGCAAAATAGAAAATAGTCATTAGTTATTATATTTCCATTTCTTCTAATATTACCAGTCTCCACAAAACCAAGGAGTAATAATCAAGTGTCCCTTACCATTCACCACAATTTTTTTCCATTGTTGACATAATACCCATGACTCAATTCTGTCATTTTTTTAAGTTAACAGAATTGGATGCTACACCTTATGTTGACCATTATTATTAAAAACTAAACATCTCTCCCTATGTATTAGAAACCAAATAGAGTGTTACAACCCAGGACAAAATTTGTGAAATTTAAATTTTATTTTCACCTTGCTGTTCCAATAACGGAAATAACTCAGCATTATTTTACAAAGCATACTATATTGTGTACCGTTTAAAAGTAAAAGCCACATCAAAAGGAACAAAATTATAGCTCCAGATGGGTAATTCAGAGCCAATAGAACAAAAGGCAAATGTAGCCCTCTTAGCTTTAGCTCAGCTCATCCATAATCCAAATGGGCTACAGAAGTCTACTGTAAGTGCCTCCAAACAACAACAACAACAACAAAAACAAATAAGGTGTTGACATCTACTAATCCACATGCAAAACAGCCAACAGTTAGCCTGGCTTTGCCTGGACTCATCTACTCTTGGGTATACTTTCATTTCCTGTTGAGTTTAGATTGATCAATTCTTAGGGAAAATTATGAAAATAAAATGTTTTTGTAAATAAACATGGACTCTCATGTATGAATGAGTTTATTTCTTATTCCATAACTGTAGTAGGTAAGATGAGATTCAAAGGACCATTAATGTCTACTCTGGATTTTAAAATGCTACAAGAGAGTATCTCGACTTACAGATAAAAGCTTATGACTTATCTTCCTGGTTCTGCTAGTGACTTTGTTCTTCCAACTCCTGATTTCTTCAATGTCTTGGCCTTTCTGGGAATAATGTTAAATACATGCTTATGTAATAAGTATAAATGTAGTAGATAAAGCAAGTCAGAATCTCAGCTTACTTAAATGTTCAGATACATGCCCAGAAATCCTCTTTCCCTTTTTAGGTAACCAAAGAGTGCTGTAATCTATAAATAATAATCTACAGAAATAGTTAAAAAGGGAGTAAGAATATTGAGAAAGTGAGCCTTAAGCCCAAAATATACAGGCCTGGTCTATGATACATCCAAGATATAATGCTGGCCAGGCACTGAATAAGCACTTAATTTGGATTTTATGTGATAATTATTCTTGATTTAATAAATCTTAAGTATATGAACTAATTTGTAAGTCTGCAGAAGTAAATAAAAATTCAGTCAGAAATATACCTATATAAAAAGAAAGTAGCATTGAAAACTGGACCAATGAAACATATTTTCATGTTTAAAAAGGAAGATAAGATTTTGGCTGAAACTACAGGGTCTATTGCCTCATTGTGCAACTTTAACTTTGTGTATGTGGAAAGTGTTAGGACATACATGTCCTCATTCCCTCAATTTTCAAATGCTTGAAATTAAATAAGCTTAGACACTAAAATAAAAATAAGTAGACTCTATAATCAAGTCATCACTCATTCTTATTAATTGCTATATAAAGAGTCTTATTGACAACTAAACTTTGCAGAATCTGACTTCATTGGAAAACAAAAAGAACTATCTTAGAGTTTGCTTGTATGGGAAGTTATTTTCTGCTAAATCATGTTTTCAAAATAAAAAAAAAATTCGAAAGTACCTATTACTATAAGGTTTAAAAAAATATCTTTAAAGAAGAAAACTTCTAAAATTCTAAGCAAAAAGGGACAATTTCTACTTGTACAGCATCTAGGTGTAATCACTATACTTTTAGCGGTGGGAGGAATAAAGAACTAAAAAGTTTAAAGAATTAAAAAATTAAAGAACTAAAAAGTTTTAAAGTAATTTAATGAATCTAAAGTATTTCATTGTATCAATTTACTCTGGGAACTATGATCTCTTCTTCAGGGAATTTGGGAGAACATTCCTTTGTTCCTGTTATTTCCAAAACTGTGGCTTCAGAAATACAGACTTTTTCTTTTGAGCACTCTAGTCATGAAATAGCTCCACTCATTTTTCAAATGCATTTTTTGGAGGTGATACAGCCAACAGGAATATATAGGAAAATTGCATTTTGTGTATCTGCTGCATAATAAGAATGATAGTAATGCAAATATTCTGCATTTAGAAAGCATCCTTTCTTCCAAGGACTTTAAAATCTCTCTAATTTGTCCTGGCTGATTCTTTGTGATGATGAGTTAACAAATATTTTTACTTCTATTTTGTACCTGGGTAAACCAGTTGCTGATAAGTGATTGGTTTCAATAATTAAACACTGGAAAAAATTAGGACTTTGGGCATGTTTTACATGATAGCATGTTTACACTTATTCCAAATAAATAAATTTCCTTTTAAATGTGATAGCAGAGAGTCACAATTTTAAAGATATTTTTATCTCCAAATCTTAAAATACCAACATACTTCAAGATTTGGATTAATACGAGTGAAGCTCATCTAGCCCAACCTCCAGATTTCTTTTTTTTAATAAAGGAATTAAACTGGAGATGATAAGTGACTTTAGCTAAGATCACAAAGAACTAGGCATAGAAGACTGCCATTCTGACTTCTAGTCTGTTATAATTTTTACATAATCTGATTCTATCTGCAGTTTTTATAATGTCCTTATATTTGACAATCCAAAACAAATATAAAAGTTATAAAATATGGTTGAGCAATATGTTCTTTTACAACACATTTCAGTCTAGAACAATTTTGGCCTCCTTGTAGCAAAGCACTTACGTGTTCTTGCCTACAATGTGGTTCCTGCCTATGTGTGTTCCAGTAAAATTAAAGGCCAAAAAGGAAAGTCCACTGGTACTCAAGAGGTATTTCAAAACTTCAAATATCAGAGCAGCATTTGTAAAAGATGAGTGAGAATATGCTACCCATTGTATTAATGGATTGGCAAATATTCATTTTAAATGATTAATTTTGAATTTTTTTTACACAGTTTGAGAGACATTTTTCTTTGCTTTGCTTTTTTGACACTGAGTCTCCCTCTGTCACCCAGGCTGGAATGCAGTGGCAAGATCTCGACTCACTGCAACTTCAACCTCCTGGGTTCAAGTGATTTTCCGGCCTCAGCCTCCTGAGTAGCTGAGACTACAGGCGCATGCCACCACACCTAGCTAATTTTTGTATTGTTGTAGAGACAGGGTTTCACCATGTTGGCCAGGATGGTCTCAAACTCCTGACCTCCAGTGATCCACCCACCTTGGCCTCCCAAAGTGTTGGGATTACAGGCGTGAGATACCTTGCCTGGCCAAATTTTTCTTTTTCTAAAAAAAGGTCCATGAATAAAGAACTGGCAAGAAAAGAATTGAAGGTTTTTTTCCCTTTTGGTATATGTTACTTTAACAGAATCATTGGCCATAATAAAAAGCTCATTTATTAAGTTATTTAGTGATGATTCTGTTTTGCTTTACAGAATATAATTTCATATGTGTATTCAAACAAAAATGCATGAAGTTTTCAACATTACTCACGCCAGAATAGGTATTTCCTTCATATAAATGCACAGCCATTAGAAGCTGGGGTCTAAGGAAGTTCTCTCTCATCTCAGTGCAAGCTAATTTCATCATTTTATTCTTCTGTGTCTCTCTGAACCTCGGTCCTGAGTTATTTGCTTTTTATTGTAGACCAGGGTTGTCCAGAGTTGGTGACTATTATGGCATGGCTACCCAGGGCCAGGGAGGTGAGGCTTAATGAGAAAGAAGATAAATGAAAATGACTACTCCTGCCTTCACTGCTGCAACAACTCAGGCCTATAGGTAAATATCCCTCAACCTCATGCTATTATTGCTTCATGCCACCCTGGAAAAATTACACATTACTACAGAGCTCTCATTGCAATTTCCATGAGGACATCTTTTCCATAGCCTTCATTTAAAAAAAAAAAAAAAGGAATAATGAAAGATAGCCCAAGTTTGCCTTCAAATATAAACATTCTTTTTCTATCCAAAGACTAAGAAGAGTCTTTGCTTTGTTTCTTTCAGGTCATGTGTTATATGGAGGTTAAAATATTGAAAGGAAGATGGAAACATTTAATCTTAAATCATAAAATTAGTCTTAATTATAATCTTAACCAAAGGGATCTGTCAAAACATTGAACTGGGAGTAGAAGGTCTATTTGACTTCCTTTTTCCCACATAGTTTTCAGAGACAGAGTTGAAAATTTGGCCACCTGCTATTCTCACTCTCCTTTTGTCTTCTGGTTCCCTCTTCCTCACCTATTAAATTTTCTCTCAAGAGTTAATAACTACCAAATGCACATGGTCTAAGTGAATTAATTGGGTTTTGCAAGTCTTTTTGACAATAGAAGAATGATCTTCTATTTGACAATAGAAGACAATTCTATTTGACAATAAAGTGATAAGAACACTACCTTGACTTGTGGCCTCTCTTTCCCAGGCTTAACTTAATGTTTTCAAAGAACAGACAGTATCTGCCTGGATTCTGGGTCTGATTTACCATCCTTTAACTTTGCAGTTATAAACAGACATAGTAGTACTTGCAGATGCACAAGGACAGAAAACCTTCCTTTGGCTTCATCATAACAGGAAATTGCTGAAGGTGGAAGCCTTAGAAACTTGTCCTGAGTGTTGGCATTTGGAGCAGGTGTCCAGAGAAGGATGCTAGGAGGAAGTCCAGGGACTTAGTGTGTGAAGCCATGGGGAGGGGCTGTCCCTCCTGAATGGAAGCAGAAGGACTCACATGGTTTTTTCATTTCTGTAGTATTCGTGACATTTGGCTACTCACAGGAAAAATAAAACATGAAACTCAATGTAAATATATAAAAAAAATGAAATATGGGGCAAACAATTGGAAATTGAGAGAATCTGTCTTTAGCAGTAATTGTTCTATTTTTACTGAACTATCAAGGATATTCTGGTAGTAAAGAAATTGTACCACAGCATATACTATTTGTACAAAAATACCACTTAAGATACATAATACAAAACAGAATATTATCTGTGGAGTTTTGCTTTCTATAAAAAAGATACACTGACATTCTGGAACCAAAATTTCCACTGCTATATTGATAATTGTTTTAGAAACAACGTTCTTTTTTTTTTTTTTTTTTTTTTGAGATGGAGTATCACTCTGTTGCCCAGGCTGGAGTACAATGGTGTAATCTTGGCTTTGAGCAATTCTCCTGCCTTAGCCTCCCAGGTAGCTGGGACTACAGGCACCTGCCACCATGCCTGGCTAATTTTTGTATTTTTAGTAGAGATGGGTTTTCACCATGTTGGCCAGGCTGGTCTTGAACACTGACCTCAGGTGATCTGCTGGTCTTGGCCTTCCAGAGTGTAGAAACAACATTCTTACAGGTTTTCTTGCTAAAGTCTGAAGAATCAAAGTATCAGCAAAGAAAACAAAATGGCCCTGATACAATTGAGTTATTTGGCTTGCACTGTTAATCTTTATCTCCCTACATTTTGTTCCATCCTGTGCATGAAGCTAGGAATGGTTTACATCTGTTTTCAAGTAAGAGGACTTGAAATAGTTCATAAACGTTATTATTAATTTCTAGAGTGTTACTTGCTGATTAGGAAACAAAGACGTAAACAAAAATGAGCAGCAATAGGAATCACTGCAATTTTAGGTTTCAGGATGCTCACATACATTATGTGGGTTTAGAAAATACACTTGAATACAGGATGTGGTGTTGTATTGCTGTCTATTCTTAAATACAACAGTTTAGAGTATTTGTTCAGAGATAAGACCTTTCCTAGATAATATAAGGAATGAAATTTGTTACCTAGTGTAACAGTGAATCAAAAGTTTGCTAATTAGCAAAAGACTCTTAATTTAAGCCCTAAGCATTAGGGAAAATAAGCTAAGTGGGATACTTTCTAGATCCAGAATCTTTTAAATGTATTGATAAAATGTAAATATTTCTTTCCTTCTTTCCTTCTCTTCTCTTCTCTTCCCTCCTCTCCTCTCCTCGCCTTTCCTCTCCTTTCTCCCTTCCCCCCCTCCTTTCCTCCCCCTTCTCCTTTCCTTTCCCCTTCCCCTTCCTTCTTTCCTCATTTTGAGATAAGACCCAGCCCTATTGCTCAGGCTGAAGTATGCTGGTGCAATCATGACTCACTGTGTCCTTGATCTCCTGGGCTCAAGCAATTCTCCCACCTCAGCCTCCTGAGTAACTGGGAACACAGGCACACTCCACCATGCCTGGCTAAAATTATTTGAATTTTTTGTAGAGGTCAGGTTTCCTTATGTTGCCTAGGTTAATTTCGAACTCCTGGGCTCAAATGATCTTCCTGCCTTAGCATCTCAAAGTGCTGAGATTATAAGTGTGAGCCACCATGCCCAGACAAAATATAAATATCCCTTTAATAGTAACACCTAATTCCCTAATACCATAAAAAATGGGGTGCTCCATGAAGAAGCACATAATTCAAGTTACTGAAGCTTTTCCCTTCTAAAGAACAAATAGATTTCTCTTGCCCCATTAAAAAAAATTGATAATCAGTATTTCTAGGATAGTTGTTTTCTTCCGACCAACTAAGGAATAATCTATGCTGCAGAACATTCAGAGAATGATGCCTGGTCAATATTTGAATAAACAGTCACTGTGATATTGCCTCTATTTAAGATGACTCCAATAAAACTTCTATAGTATGCATTATTAGTTGATCAGACTTTAAATATTATTTTTTGGTAGAATCAAGGAACTTGTCTTATCTCCCATATCTCCCCAAAATATGCTTGTTTTTTTTAAGCTATAAAGCAGATAGCCAATTTTGTGAGAATTTTCCCTATAATACATCCATACAAGTGATGAGCACCTGGCATGATGGTGCATAAAGAAGGCAGCAATACACAACAACTGAAGCATAACCTCTGCAGCCAGTCTGCTTTGGACAAATCCCAATTCCATTACTCACTAGCCACCTAAACAAGCTACCTAATTCATTTACCTCCGTTTTCTTCAACAGTTTAATGGGTATGATCAACAAACCAACTTCATTTGATTATCATAAATATTATTAAAAGAGACAATGCATGTGAAACCATGTAAGCAATCATTAACAATAATAATCAAAGATGATCATTACTTTTCATGGAGTTTTTGCTAGTGCCATGTACTGTTTTGTTAATACTAATTGCCTGATTTTCTGTCCATGAATTTTTGGCTGATCTAAGTTTCCACTTCCCTCACCCCTTGGCTGGGATCTAGGTATGAGAGTTGCTTGGCAAACAAACTAGAGATAAATTAGGTGTTACTATATAATGTTAACGTAGGCAAATATGAATATCCAAACATGCCATAACGTTGGGGGTTGTCCCTTTCCCTAATATTCAGTTTCTTTATTCTAAATATTTTAATTGGTGGTTTTATGTTGGCCCTGGTAAACTTTGTTAACTCTTTGTACTTTGCTGTATATTGCAATTTATGCTTTTTTTTCGCATTTAATTTCTGAACCATCTTACCTATAATCAGGTACTAGCAAATAAATGGATCAGACTAAAAATGATGGAATATGTAATGAATGAGAAGTGGAATTTCTACAGTTTATTCTAAACCCTCAATTAAAAGAAGGGTAGGTGAAGTCTCCCTTTTTAAAATTTAAATTTAATATACTTTTCACAATTCTACTGTACTCTCAGGAAATATGGAATTTATGAGCCATCACATGGACTAAAGAAAAGCATAAAGTTCTCATGTTGCTTCAGCACAAGATCCTTACCTTCAACTGTTCCTTGAGTTTGTTGGAGACAGACGGTACATTACCATGCTCTTAGCCACAGTCAGGCAATAGATAAAGAATCAGGCAAGAAGCACTGTAATCCAAAGGCTGGACATGCCTGAAACAGATTCTTGAGAGGCATTCACAAAAGGTCTTGAGATGTCCTCTCTTGGCTGAACTGATGTCAAAATCAGTTGCCAAGAAGCCACTCAGAGACCCCTTCCTGTAGCTAGACCCCTCTCCTATTTTCCTGGGGCTTACTAAATATGACTCACTTCCTTAAAGCCACCATGATGGTTTCTTCAGTAACATGCAGGTAAAAGCTATGGGTATCTCATGCTGATCAGAAATTTCTAAGTGTACCTTTCAGAAGGGGAAAGCTAAATCTCAGATTTTCTATTTTCTTACCTTTGGCAAATCATTATAAATACTCTTTTGGTAAAAAGGCCTTTCATAATGTCTTTACTCCTTTGAGAAATGTTTATTAGGGGACATTCTCAGAGGTAAATTTTGAAAATAAAATAAATAGAAAAGAGCAAATTCCTTCTTTACCACTATTAATGACAAATGATAACTGAAAAAATAGTATATGGAATATCTAAATTTTTAGGCTGTAGGCTCCATCAAAGCATATTTGCAACATTTCATCATGTCATAAGAGTTTATTAGCTATGCTGTTAACATGCAATTAATATCACTTGGGGATATGTATGTCAGTGGAATAAAAACTCATAAAAAGGCTAATGTTTCTGAGATGAAACTGACATGATAAACCACTGGAATTCACTTAGTGCAGATGTTTCATTGCTATCTATTCCAGCCAACATTATCAACCACCCATTTCCACCCACTGATGCTGACCTGAAGAGCCTGGTCTGTGTTGCACAGATTCTGACTTGCATCTTCAGTACTCTAGACATGGGCACACAAGAACAAGCTAAGACATGTCAGAAAAAGCATTCGCAATGTGTGTATAATACTATTGCTATTATTATTACAGGTCCATGTGCTACATTAAAACTGAGCAGCTACCCATGTGACCAGCACTGTGCCATATCCTTCCATATAATCTC